AGATGTTTCAAGGAAGGCGCTGAAAATAGCAAGTGGGATGAGAAAGTCAAAATGGCTGTAAAACTGAGAACTTAACCCTTAACTCCCCGAAGAGATTAATGTGAAACTTCTCCACTAATATACATACATTAACCAGCAAACAGGCAACAAGGATATTGAAACTTATCAGGTAGAAGCTGTTATCTTGATCTAGCACTAAGTTCTTATCACTAATTTACAAGGAAATGTTAAGCAGCTAGAGAGCAGAATTAACAGTCATATCTTGAGAGTTAAAGGGTTAAAAGTAAAACCTACATGGCAGTGAATGCTATTCTTGAGAGGAGGGTGGGAAGGAAACTTCTGCAAATATCATGCAAGGGGAGTTTGATAGCAACACAAATTTTTCAGAGCACTTGTTTGTGATTTTTCATTTCATTACAACCCATATCCCTTAATCCATTCCTTAAGGTCTCTAGCCCATTCTCCAAGCTCCTGGCTCAACAAGCAAAGTTGACATTGTGTGTTTACCTATGTCCCTCATCACTAGCCAGATATTTAGCTATTTCTCTTATTTTTGTCCTTTTGTTTCCTTTGATATGGTTTGCCAAGAGCTCTGTATATCCTGATTGCATTTCATAACATTGTGTGTTTCCGAAAAAATGCATAAAATTTTCTGTTGACTACTCCTTCCCCAACTAACATGTTGTTACCCTCTGATAGATTGGATCTTACATAGACACTCACCAGTTATTAAATAATTTTGCTAAGTTTTGTCCTTGGTCTTTCCCAACCACTCTTTCATCTTCCAAATCACATTTATTACCAACAAGGACCATTGGAACCTATGTAAAAATTAACACATGTAAATAGTTCTGTTTATGCTTTATATCACCACACAGCTTTCAAATTCTGTATTTTTTGTTGTTGTTGTTGTTTTCTTTTAAAATATAGCTTGTTTGCCACATAATGGCTTCTTAGTCTCTCATTTACCTGCAATTTGATTTTTTACTTGAAACAAGTCTTGAAATCTGGGTCAGGTTGTTCAAAGCTGGATTAAGATAACCCAGGGTTAGTGTGAAATCTGATTTCATATCTGATAGCTTTAAAAGAAAATTCAGTCAAATTCTTTTTGTCTAGAATATGACTATTTGGCTCTAAAAAGAAGACAAGAAATTGTCCCAAAAAGGCTTTTGAATAAAGGAATAAAGAAACCCAGAATAACTAACTGCCTTTGAACAACTGGGTCCTGATTGGTTGCATTGTTTGTTATGAGTCTAGCACTAATTATCAGAGTCAGACCCCAAGCAGATTTCTTGCTGGTTTGTGTATCTCATGGCCTCTTACTTTACAGAGGGCAAACACATGCTTGTACAGAAGTGTTAATAACATGGACCAGCTCACAAACTAAGGGATACATATCAGTCTTCACTTACATCCTCTGTGTCCTTCACTCTTAAAATCTGATCTCTCAAGTCCCCAAGGTCATTGAACGTAGATTGCGCTGTGATTGAGTACACCAAAACAAAGCCTTGACCATTCTTCATGTACAAATCCCGCATGGCTGTAAACTGTTCCTGTAAATCACAACAATAACTCTGTGGAATCAGTGCTTGATTAGAGTTGCATTAACACTTTAACTCCCATGAGTGACCAAAAAAGAATTTCTCCCTACAATTTCAAATGTTATCAGGCAGAAGAGTGATGTTTGCAATAACTATTCTAGTTAGCTTTTACTAAAAACATGGAAAACTAGACCACCGGAACACACCAGAAAACCTAAACATGCCAGAACACTTGAACAACCTGAAACATTGCAACATGCCAGAACATGCTAGAACACCACTTAAAATATTAAAAAATAATAATAATAAAACTAAGAACCCCATAAATATTAATCACAAGAATGTATAAAAATCAAAACTCAAATTGTATTCAGTTTGCGCCCATTGACCAGTAACCTAATTATAGATGTTTTAGAGGACTACTGTCATGGATGCATTACAGTTGTGTTGTTCTTCATCCAACATGGAAAAAAAAGTATTTTTCAAGTGTACCATTTTTATTTTTGCAGCTGTAATCTGCAGTAATCACCTCAATCTTTGGTCATGTCTGCTTTTTATATTACAAAAAAGAATTTGTTTTTGTTGGTCTGTTAGGTAGCAATCTATCCTGTAGTTTTCTATGCTGTGCAAAAATTGGACAACATACGATAATTTATGTGTAAATTCATTAATCACTTATTCCTCATCACAGACTTTTTTCTCAGTTTGCTGTATTCAAGTTTCCTGAAAGTGGGTTAGTTGGCAATTTTCAGTGCAGAGGCTTTGTCGTGTCTCTCCATGCAGAGATTTTGGCCACAAACTTGTTCAACTATTTCACCCATGTTGCACATACTTTCCATTTCTTTTTCATTTGTGTTATTTTTAACAATGTTTTGTGGTGTTCTGGCTTGTTTCAGTGTTCCAGCATGTTCTGGCATGTTCCCATTATCTAGAAAGTTCTGTCGTGGTCCAGTGAGGTTTTAGTACTTACAATTCTTGTGAGATATTTAATATTACCAAAAAGGTACAAATATTTGTATAAACCTTTAAGAGTACTCTATTAAACAAAGTGAATATTTCAAACCAAGGTAAATGTTTGTCCCTATGTAAAGGAAACTTCTGTAAAATAGAATTACTACAGTTCTTGGGGTTGGAAACGTGAGAAAGCTGTGTTATGAAGGGTTTGATGATGTTGGCATCTTCCCAGTTTGAAAGTAAACATGAACTTGTAGATAACAAATGGGTATGATTGGAATCTGAACACTGGGTTGTGAGAAACATTTAAGTTTTAACTAGTATAAAAATATTTTTACTCCATTTACAGAAGGGAAAAGACCAAGTGCAGTCTATTTATGTTAGATATCTTTCCAGCAGGAAGATATTACCAGCTGCCAAAATGTGATATATAATTAATATAATTTTTCACAAAAATATGTAATATACAATCTAAGATTACTTTGAGTATTTTTCCTAGACTACCACAGTCATATTCCTCTTGGTTTGTTATATGTACCAAATTTTTACAACCAAATGCAATTATATGACAAATAAATAACACCAATTTGTTTCCAAAACATTTATGAGGACTGAAAAGCTACCAAATTTCATATTTAGAAGCCAGTACACAAATATATAGACATTAATCTTAATTAAGATTGGATATGGGAGTAACTAGCCATCAACCATCAAGCATGTGACAAACACTTAAACCAAACCAATTATTTAACAAATTTTGAGTGCCTTCAACTCCCAACAGCCAGATATGCACATTTGCTAATAATACTGCCTCTCCTTCTGGAGTTTATCACATATATTTCCATAAAATCATTATCAAACCTAACCTTAGTCATGGGTGAAATTTTTAAAGAAGAGCAGGCTCAATATCATTTTTTCTGACAAACATGATTGTAAAATTATTGGTTTTAATTTGCTTATCTGGCTACACGCAAGATGAACTAATTAGAATATTCAAACCATAAATAATAGAGGGGTGAGATTAAGTATTTTCAATTTAATTAGGGCTAATTACTTAACACGTAAACCTTCTTGCACGGCAGACAGGCTGATTAAATTCTGAGTAAAAGAGAAAATCCAGAGAGAGTGAAAATTTTTGACAACATTCTAGGTTCCGATATTTAAATTTTTTTCCAATTTCTCTTTTGCAAGCACACTCAAAATAAATAAAATATGGTTTTGCCGACATCAGACTTCTGCACCTAACCAATACATCACCGAGCGATTAGAGGAAAATTTTCGCACACCAAAGCTATTCCTGTTTACATAGCTCCGAAGAAGTTATAAAATGCTATGGGTAAATAGAGAAGTTGTTATGAGTTTTGTAACAGCAAGCTGTTCATTTGACAAGAAATATACATATTCATGGCATAAAGTTGGATTGATACTCTTTCCCAACTAACTTTTTCAAAATAGTGGTCCAACTTACCGTTCCTGCTGTGTCCAATATTTCCAGCATACACTGCTGCCCGTCGACTTCAACTTGCTGGGGTAAAAGAACAAAAATTTGACACGAAATGTTAGAAGAGAATATCGGCTTGTGAAAAACGGGCGCCGGTCGACATTGATTCTCACTTGGAATATACTTACTTTTCGATATGAATCTTCGATCGTCGGGTCATACTTTTCGACGAAAATTCCTTGCACAAACTGAACAGTCTGATAAAGAAAAAGAGAAAATACAAAGCTTAATAAAAGATCTAATCACTTCGACTGATACAGTTTAGAATATTGCTGCTTCTTCATATTCCTACCGTGAGAAATCAATACACTGAACATCAATTCTCGTTTCATAGACAGATTTAAAGGAGTTTCACGCTATCATTACCAGAGCACTCTTGCCAACTCCTCCAGAACCAAGAACAACCAGTTTGTATTCACGCATCTTGGAAAGGAAACTTCACTTCGACACCTAAAACATGAAAATCTCATTGAGACACCGCCATAGCATGGCACTGACGAATGTTACGAGGCGAAAACTGGCAACGGTTCGCGCGTCGCTGCCAAATAAATCAAAATTGTCATGTACAGGGATGAATAAGAGTAAGAAACGACAAAATGTTACCTTCAGCAGGCTGAAACAACGGTTGGTTTTTTAAAAAGAAAACAATATACACAAGCTAGGACGCTCCTTCACGACGATTCGGAGCAATACGAACGGGTGTGTACGTCACTCTGGACGAAACTGTTTTATATAGCCTCACTTTCAAATGGCTATTTTTGGCACTGACGGGGAGGTGGGTAGAATGAAATACTTAGTCACCCTTGGACGGTTTTTGCCTTGTCATTTTAAACAAGTATTTGGGGTATAACGTGTTACAAACACAAATTTTTGATCCATAAATTGTATTTTATACAACTAACTAAGGCCACATGTCGCATTTTTCTCCTATCAAGCTAGATTTGTAACAAATATTTTTAATTAATATTTTTAAGTGTTGTTCATTTTTATTGGGAGTTATATTATAGTTAATTACCCAGCAAGACTTGCACACATGAAGAAAAGATGGCGCTGCGGAAGAAGCTTGAATTTAATTGTGTCGGTTTAGTTTTGCAAATAACAACGAAGCCCTTCATGAGGGTGGAATTAGCCGCTATTTAATTTAAGACTTTTAAAATCATGATATAAATAGCAATCTCAGAGATGGAACCGAATGAAAACAATTCCTTCCAGGAGGTTGTAGGTGACTCGAGCTCGAGTGTAAACGGTACTCTAAAGAGGCCGTCGAAATCTCGTTCTCGGGTTTGGGAAAAGGTTGTTTGGTTTACTAGAAAAGCAAAAGGAGGGAAAGACAGCAAAAGTGCTGGAGCAAGCGCTGCTGAGCTGTTGAAGAGCAGCACAAACAGTAATTTGGACTTAGTTCGTGATCCGAGAGAACTCGAAGTTGAAAAGACTTCCAGCAAGCATAAAATACGGAAGAACCGAAGCATCAAATATCTGAAACGACGCAAAGAAAGACAATTTGGCGACGATCTGAGCCCAGAAGTTGTCGAAAAAAAAGTCACTGTACAGGAGTGCGGAACAGCGACGGGGACCTTCCATGATTTTAACTGTGAGAGGCGAATGTCCCGATTACATAGAACTTCAAGCAACAACAGCTTGCTCAATGAAATAGCTAAGGAAATGAACCGATCACCGCTGAAAGCCAAAGAGAACGTGAAAAGCGTCTTATCTCTCCCATTACACGACTTGTCATTAAATGAAGGAAGAATTCCTGATAATATCACTGCTCCAACATTTCCTCCAGTTCGACGCAGTGTAAGCTTTTCCGGACCAGCTTATAACAGCTGGCCTCGAAAGAAAAGATCACATCTTGAAAACTCCTCAAACGCTCATCTGCTTTCACCACCTTTGAAGCAAAAACGTGTCACTAGTATAAAAAAACGAGCATCTTTCAGCGGATTTGATTCTTCAAGAGTGCAACAAAACTCTTCTTTGCCACAGTACCGAGGAGTGAGAAGCACCCCTCATTTAACTCACTTAGAGCACGGTGGGCACATTAGAAATCAGAATGGTTTAACTATTGGTGCAATTCACTTCTATAAAAGTCCAGTTCTTTATCAAGAAGAGGCAGCTCTTAAAATTTTACAACCGAAGATGCAGGAGAAGTTAACATGTGACAACTCTTTTTCTAAATGCACAAGTCCCTGCAGTTTGACTGTCAAGTCTGATTTGGAAAATGACAGGGCAATAACAGTTTCATTAACAAGGGGATCAGACATCATTACCCAACATCATGATACAGCTGCTATTCCAAATCATGAGATGCTGAGGAAAAATGAGGATGAGAACAAGTTAGTCCATGACGAACTCATCAGCAGCACTCAAGTAGCAAACCGTTCAAACAACTTTCTTAGTTTTGCTGTTAGAAGCAGTGAAAGTCAAAACTCAACCATTTCTGCTTTTCTGTTAGAGGGAGAGTGTTCTAGTACCTGTATGACATCTAGTCCTGTTGATTCTTCTGATGAGGATTCAGAGAAGGAGAAGCTGTCACTGCCAAGTGATTCATCTGAGTATATGACACAGGTTGATTCTGTAAATGAAGACGTTGATGTGGTGAAGTACAATTATGGTGATTTTACATCAGAAGATGGTATTGTGCATGAAAATGTTTTTGCAAGCATTGACAATAACAAAGCTATAGATAACCAAGATCATCATGCCAGGGTCCACAAATTGGAAGCTGTCCGACAACATTCAGTTTCTTCCATTATCAATGGAGATAGCTCCTTCCCTGCAGTTGTGTCTGGCGTAAAATCCATTGATACCAGAACAGAGAATGAAATTTGTGCTACAGCTCATTGTGATGCACAAAAAGGTACAGCTCTTGCATCCCAAAAACTTTCTTTGATGGATGAAATTAGAAGAGGTGAAGTAAGGACTTCTTCTCCTGGTCACTTTGGTCATGGGCAAAGTTTATGGTCAGGAAATCAAATGATTTGGCAGAGAAAGCCTACTGTTGATGGACCACAGTTTAAAAAGCGCAGTGAGGTAACTCCTTTTGAATTCCACCTTTTTTTTGCACTTAGGAAAGTATGGCCGATTGAATTCTGTGGATGCTTGATTTGAAAATACTGTGTAAATGGAAGTTATTGAACATAGGGTAGAATCTGCTCACTCAAAACTCCAAAAGAATTCCAAAACAGCTTTGTGATTGAGAGAGTTTAAAGTAAACTGGTAATAGATTGAAGATAAACACACAAGGAAATAATTGAGAGTTTTGGTCAAAGAGAAGTCCTAGTAGTATGAGTTTTAGTTTGTGAGGTCCTATTTTAGACTGCAACCTAGCTTGGTCAGCAATCAGTGTTCTCCTATTCAGGGGGTAATTGGTGAAATTTACCCCTGTAGTACCTCTTATCAACAGGCACAAGGATTGCTCTATGGGTTTGACATGTTTTTTTTACTTGTCTTGCTTACAATAAGGAAGAACACCAAGTAATTAGATTGAATGTTGGTAAAGAGCCAGACTACTGTGAGGAAGGTCCAGGGTTTCAGTGGGCCAGACCAGAAGAACATTGTTATTTAGAAGAATTTGTTAGTGAATCAACTAACAATGAT